TTAACCAAAATCAAAGTAGACTATCACTCACCCACACCACATGGAAAACTCTACAGACTGTCGGTTCACACCCCATCACAAGCCAGCAAAACATCCACGAAACAAAGAAAGGTCTGTCACAGCCAAAAAATACACTCCAGACACATATTACAGCTAATGACCTTCCGTTCTATCCGGGAGAAGACGGAAGCTCATGCCTCAGAGGTTAGCCCCCGTTTTTTTTTCCCAACATCCGCGGTACAGGCAGCTACTCATGGAGTACAAAAAAAGAAACGAAAAAAAAAAAAAAAAACCTTCCTCAGGAGGTGCTAACAGAACCCCCTGAGTTGGAAGCCTGCACACCATCTATTCGTGGGTTAACCCGTCATAGAAAAAGCCAGAGGCGAGGTCCCATTAGCAAAGACGATTGGATCAAGCGTCTAAAATTCTCTCCGAATCTGGACGTGTTCATTGCAGAGATGCAGAAAGGCAAATCAATCGCGATTTCGTGCAACTCTCCACAAACACGTCCACATTCATCCGTCGAATCCTGTCCCCGTTACTACCGGAGTGCGACCTCGCCCCGGGCCGCCTCTATTGAACCAAAATAATCAATACGATAAAAATTCAATTAAAAAACCCAAAAAAGAGCTATATTTAAAAAAAAAAAAAAAAAGGCAACACCTTCCCAGAAACAACAAAAAAAACATACATACACTGTACTACAGTAATTTGCTACTCACCGCATTTCCCCCCCCCTTCAGTAAATGCGCCACGTGGCTGTTCTCCACGGCTGCGGGCTTCACACTCCCACCTCACTGTCGGTTCCGCGATACTTTGTGGAAAAGATTCGTTCGTCCTCCGTGCGCTTCCACGTGGCGGCAGCACGCAGCCATCATGATTGCCACGAACCCGCCTTGATGTCTCGATCCCGACAACGCCTGCGTCTCGTTGCCCCTTATCTTCTGATCCTCCTGCTCCCAATCCTCCTTCCCGTCGCGATCCCGTCCGCGCTTCCGAACGCGATGGACTCAGGTCTCGATGAGCTGACCTTGTCGTCCTGGTCGAGGTTGCGGTCTCGATCCCGATCCCGATCCCGACAACGCCTGAGTCTCGTTGGCCCCTATCTTCTGAACCTCCTGCTCCCAATCCTCCTTCCAGTCGCGATCCGGTCCGCGCTTCCGACCGCGATGGATTGGGGTCCCGATCCCCTGACCTCGTCCTCCTCGTCGTCGAGATCCACGCCGCCCCCGCCGCCGTTGATGACATCACTCTACCCCTCTTCCGAGTCTCTCCTCCCCCTCTCTCCATGAGGAGATTGTCCTTCTCCCGCGGCGGCATCTGTCCACGTGGCATCGCAAGATCATCACTACCCTCTTCGTCCGAATCCGTACAAGCAACAAATCCCTCTTCGTCCTCGTCGACCCTGCCACGTGGCGGCAGGCTCACGACGGCCACCACGGCGTCACTCCACCCCCCTCCTCTCGTCTCACTTGCTCTACCATCAGCAGCCTTCACTTCTTCACCGATCACCCGACCGCCGTCGCGGTCTGCAGGCGACGGGCCACCATTCTCCTTCTCGCCGCGGTGGTCGGGACTGACGCCACGTGGAAGATCCCGACGCGGCGCAACAACGTCATCATCGCCCGCCATCCGCCTGGCGTGATCATCATCCCGTTCTTGAGCAGCCGCTCTGCGCCGGACACTTCCACGGCGATCGGGACTGGTGCCACGTGTCGGCTCACCGTTATTTCCACCTGTTCCCCCTGGTCCATCATCGACCTCCATGCCTCCGTCGTCACTTCCGCCCAATTCCCTGCCCGCCTGACCGCTTCGGAGGGCGGGAGACACTTCGCGGTCCACTTCTACTTCCACGTGGTCCTGCCCCGCGGTAATGCCGCCGCCACGTGGCTTGAAAACCACAGCACTCCCTCTTCCGAATCCCGTACCCGCCGCCTGATCTCGTCGGAGATCGGGATACACGTCAAGCAGCTCTGCCGCCGTGGCAGGCTCCACAAACCTCCTCTCCCCCTTCCCCCCGCCTTCGGCGCCTGGGTGAAGACGAAGATCGCCGCCGCCGTCCACCGTCTCCAGCGGCGGAACAGTACACGATCGCGACCCCGATCCCGACCCTTCCGCCGCCACGTCGGAACGCGCTTGAGTAAACGCCGACCTGGAAACGTCAACAGTAACGGCAGAGGTAGCGGCGGCGGCGGCGGCATCTCCCCCGCCTTTTGCTTCCCCCAACAACACCGTTTCCCTCCTTTCGCCCAACTCCCCACTCTTCACCGTCCTTTCGCCTCCCTCTCCTCTCTTCTCTCCTCTTGCATCCACTTTCTCCTCTTCTCTTTCTTTCCCTACGCGAACGTCCTCCACCCTCTCCTCTGAATCTCCTCCCTCCTCCTCACCCCTCGAACCACCACCACCTCCCTCTCTCCCCTCCAGCTTGTCCATCCTTGGGCCTGACTCCCCTCTCTTCTCTACTTCTTTTTCTCCCACTTCCCTCACCAACGTTCCTTCCTCTCGGCGTTCCCTTAATTGCCGTCGATCGCCTTCCGGATCAAGACGCTCGGGTCCGTTGTGCAAGCCTTCTCCAGCCTTCACCACGTCACCACCAGTACCTCCCTCTTCCTCTCTTCTCCCTCCTTCATCTCCCATCCCGCGAGAACGTGTCGGCAGCGACGAATCTCTCGTGCCCAGGCCGTCGCCGCCTTCGCGGTCTATACTCCTCCGCTTGTCCCTTTGCGTCATATCTATTCCTCCCTCCTGAAGCGTTATTTCCAGGGATGGCTTCCGCTTTCTGTTGATTGCCTGGACAGGGAGTAAGCTCACTTCCCGCGCTTTTCCCAAGGTCGGCGGCGGCGCGCCCTGGTCGCTTCCCAACCCTTCCCGCGCTTTTCCCAAGATCGGCGGCGGCGCGCTCTGGTCGGTTCCCAACCCTTCGCCCCCTTCGTCAACGCCCTCGGACGTCTCTGCAAGACGCCTTCCCGCCAAATCAGCCAGACGCCTTCCCGCCAAATCACCAAGACGACTTACCGCCAAATTAGCAAGACGCCTTACCGCCATATCGCCAACACGGAAATCTCCCCCCTGAATTTCACAGTCCGGCGCGCCTTGAGTCGATCCCGACCCATACTCCCTTCCGTCGTCGATGCCCATGGAAGTCGCAAGACACCTTCCCGCCAAATCTGCAAGAGGCCTTCCCGCCAAATGACCATGACGAACGTCTCCCCGCCCTCTTTCCGAGCTCGGCGCGCCCAAGGGAGTCGCAGGACGCCTTCCCGCCAAATCCGCCCGCCAAAAACCTTCCCGCGCTTTTTTTAAGTCCGGCGCGCTCTGGTCCGCTCTCGTCCCTTCTTTCTCCCTCTCATTTACGCCCATCGAAGCCGCCATACGCCTTCCCGCCAAACCCCTTCCCGCCGAATCACCACTACAAAGAGCGGGAGTGGTGGTCCCCGCCAACGCCAACACCCTCATAGCTTCTTCGACAGATGGTGGCGCCAGCTCTGCCCACGCGCTGGCTATGAATTCCCCCACCTTCCTTTTTAACTCCTCCTCCTCCTCCTCCTCCTCATTCTCCACCATCTCGTTCTCATCCCTCCGATCAGCCTCCCTCAGCCTGCGAAGCTCGTGTTTGATAGCCTGTATCATGTCTCCCTCCCTCCCCCCGCTTACTCCACTCTCCCATTTTTCTCTCTCTTCGACCCTGTCGTTTCCCCCCCCGCCTTCCTTCCGCCCCTGCCCACCTCTCTCCTCTTCCTCTCCCCTCACCCTACCTTCTCCTAAGCCTCTCTTCTCAGCCTCCCTCGGAGAAACTCGGCGCGCAGCTACTCTCATTGCCGCCGCCACCAAATCCTCCTTCGGTGGAGTGTAGATTGTCGACCGGCTGCTGTGATCACTTTTCCCGCGCTTGTTGCCCTTTCCCGCGCTTTCATCTCGAAGAACCCACAGACAAGCGACCGTCTGTTCATCGAAGATTCCACGATTGATCAGTGATTCCAACTGCCGCAAACAAATCATACGTGTCCTTCGCCTTGTGCGGCGAATATACGGTCCGCGCTGGATGAACGCCAGCAGAGCCTTCTCATCTCCACACTCCTTCAACACAAACTCGCACAGGAGACCAACCAGAGACTTCTCTTCTACCGTTCCCCGCCGACAAAGGGAATCGCATAGCATCTGAATCAACTGGACACCGAACGCCCACCACGATGGTGACAATCTCGAAATTTTTCCCATCTTGTCTTCCGCCCTAGCGTTTTCACACATCACGTAGATGGATTAACACCCCGTCCAGAACTCTCTCTCTCTCTCTCTCTCTCTCTCTCTCTCTCTCTCTCTCTCTCTCTCTCTCCGTGTGTGTGTATATGTGTGTGTGTGTGTGTTATGTGTGTGTGTGTGTGTGTGTGTGTGTGTGTGTTTGGGAAGGGAACGGAGAGAGCGGGAGGGGGCCGTGGCATGGGTGTGCGCGTATGTGCGCGTGTAACCGTGCGTCAGAGAACGAAAGAGAGAATCGCACAACATACCATGAGCTTGAGGTCAATGGACCGATGCCGCGACGAGGAAGAAGACAACCAGACAGCCATCTCCCCTTTCCTTTATCCGACCACGACGACATACCATGAGCTTGAGATCAATGCGCAAACGCCGGGAAGAAGAAGACCACGACTGGAAGACCATCTCCCTTTCTACTTCTTCGAGTATACGCACACAAGGACCATTCTTGGCGAATCTGAACGCAATTACGACTACATTCAGTCGAAATCGTCCTGCTGGTGGGACAATGACCTTCCCCTCCCTCTTCTCCAACCCCGCCACAGCGAGAGCGTGCCGACTTCTTTGACGCCGACCATCTACCGACATCCTTTCATAAATATATACATATTGTCATATACATATATCTAACATATACTGTTTGACAGCATATCTATCTCATTGAGAGAGAGAGAGAGAGAGAGAGAGAGAGAGATGTACACATATGACGATCTATATGAATTTTTGATCTTCTTCTGTTGTCTATTGTTTATGCAGGCTGCTCCATGGACTCCATCGAAAGCAAAACGGTGCCGGTTGTAGCTCATTTGATTGATTTTTCTGATTTGATTTGATTTGATTTGATTGAATCGTTGTGCAGCTGCGTCACACGAGCTCGCCTCGCCACTCGACAAACGCCCACATTTTGAATGTGCCTGGACCGCGCCGCCGTCTGTATGCATTGAAAATGTTGGCGTTTGGGCAGAGGTGCGTCCGGCACAGTCTCGAACTCGGAATGTCCGGGCACCTTCGTATGCAGCGCAACGGATCCAAGAAAGGGCATACATCCAGCGGCCTAGCTCAGTTGGTAAGGCTCGCAAGTGGCATTCAGGAGGTCATGGGTTCAATCCCCATTGGCCTCATGACCCTCCTGGGCTTACTTGGCACCCCCTACCCAAGAGATAGACCACTGGATCCACCGATCGGCATCAAGCAGAGTCTGCTATGTTCGTAGGGGAGGTGCCTGAGGGGAGGCACGGGGGATTGGTTCGCTTTATCCCTGGTGCTACCGGCCGTCCCCTGGCCGGTATCCTGCAGGCTCGAGGGGCCGTAAAAACATGGCTCTGGTATGCTACGGGTTTCCCCGTATGCCTATAAGTAGGAGTAGTGGTAGGTAGGTACCGGCTCGAGGGGCCGTAAAAACATGGCTCTGGTATGCTACGGGTTTCCCCGTATGCCTATAAGTAGGAGTAGTGGTAGGTAGGTACCGGCTCGAGGGGCCGTAAAAACATGGCTCTGGTATGCTACGGGTTTCCCCGTATGCCTATAAGTAGTAGTGGTAGGTAGGTAGTGTGAGGAAAAAATTTTTTTTTTTTTTTTTTACAAAGCAGGGGCCCTGAGGGCTTCCATTTTAAAATTTGATCATGAGACCCGGAATCCCTCATACAAAACAACCCGGAGAGAAACCTGGAACCAACAAATCATATGCCCGTAACACGTGTGCAGGGATGGGGAGGAGATCTAGGGACAGAAATGGCCAAATCCAGACCGCTGCCCTGAAGGTCCACAACCCTGCTAGTACACAAGAGAACTAATGCCACCAGGGCCTGAAAAGCCAAACAAACAACAAAAAGGTAAAAGGACGAAGGGACCCCCAAATAAAACTGGCCGCAGTGATGATTAACGGGCGTATTTTTGAGGAGTTCTCTTTAACTCGCTCCCTGAGACAGGGTTGCCCTCTAGCGCCCCTTCTCTTCGCCATTCAAATGGACGTGTTATTAAATAACATAAGATCGAACCCGTTGATAATGGGCTTTCCCGTTAATACTATTGTGTATAAAGTGAAAGCCCTAGTTGATGACCTCTTTGCTGTAACTAAGAACGACCCTGTCTCTCTGAATGCCCTCAAGCTCTGTCTGGATGAATATTCCTCTCTCTCAGAAGCTTTGGTGAACTGGCATAAGTCCGTTTTCTTTCTCCCTGCCTCCTTTGTAATGACAGTCCAATGGGGGATGCGTCCAATTGAGTCCAACCAATCTGAAAGGTTTTGGGGGGTACAGATCTCCTTGCTAGCCTGTGACGCCCACCAGGATGACCTGTTGTTGCAGAGAACACTTCAGAGGCTGAGCTCGTGGGGTAGAGTTCCCCACTTATCTCTATTCGGTAGAGGAATGGTTATCACTGGGGCATTATTTGCCTTACTCTGGTATGTGGGAACGGTACGAGCTATTGGAAAACAACTATGTGCTATGTCAAGGAGAAGAGCAGCTAAATTCTTGTGGAAGCCCTATGGAAAGGAAAATGTTGCTTTCCTCTCCAAGGTGGCCTGGGAGATGCTTTGTCTTCCACGAGAACAAGGGGGGCCTGGGGATATTGGATCCCAAAAAACAAAATGATGCTTTGTTAGTTAAATGGATCCTTAAAGCTGCCTTAGGCCTCCCAGACTCACACTGGATTGTTCTGGCGGAGTATATTCTAGCTAACGAATGGAATCTAAGTCGTCCCTCTGACGTTTGGTTATGTCTTCTGATCGAGTCATTTCAACGTCAATATATCGGTTCTCCCTTTTGGAAAGTCGTTGTGCAGGCTTGGAAAGTGTTGAAACCTGATGTGTGGGTGGAGCCGACTACAAAGGAAGAGGTCCTTTGCCAGATTTTATTTGAAAACCCTCACATCAGAAACCTGGCAGGTAAGTGGATTAGTGCAGATACTGCTCCAGGCAGCTTCGGTTGTAACTGGATAGAGAAAGGAGTATTGAAAATCTCGGATCTCTAGGACGAATTGCTTGGGAATTGGATCTCGGACAGTAATTTGCGAATGAAACTAGGCCAAATTAGAAACCTCGGCCAAAAAAAGAACTTACTTATTGATTCGATCCCACAGTCCTGGAAAAATCTGTTGTTCTCTGTCAAACCCGCCCCACCAGGTACATGGTTCAGAGAAGAGCGGTGCGAGAACCAAGTGTGGAAACTGATAGATATTAAAGCGGATGGCAAACGAACCTTTCAAGCCTGGTTTGTGATTGACCCTCAATTACAATTGGAGGAACCGCAATCTCAGCCTCAGTTAGACTCCAGTTTATTGCAAATTCGAGTTACCGAAACTGTTCATGACGATGGGTCATGGACGTGTTCCCTGCTGACTGAAGATAAGGCCATTCGGGACTATAAACTGGATCCCAAGATGTGGGAATGGCGGGCTACTGGTCATAATGGCCAAAACCTATGTTTGTTGGATTACTCCCAGAAAGTAGGATACAGACTAAGCCTACCTTCTAAGGATCCACTGGTAGTGGCAGTAACAAGATGGAGAGCTATACTACAGGTTGATGAACAGCTCCTGGCCCGGAGTATTAAGAAATGTTGGTCCCAACTGATATTCATTTCGAGCCAGAGGTGGGCAACCCTCTTATGGCAACTTTCGCTTTTGGTTACTCCTTCGGCAGTATGGTTGGTAGAACACGGAGTGAAGGTGGACCTCACTTGCTCCCGCTGCAAATGGGCCTTTGAATCTACAGTCCATATGTGGTGGGACTGTCCAGCAGCTGGCCGAATTTGGCAGTGGTAGATTAAGAAATGGGATCAGATCTCAGATAGGGTCTTCCCTTGGGACAAAACATGGTGTTTATTAGGCGGCATTCCGGACAATTTTTCAAGTGCTAAAGGATGGGGGTACATAGCTCAAGCAACAAGAGCAGTTCTCTGCAATGCCATTTGGCAATCTCGGAATGATATGGTTTTCAACGACAAGGAGTGGGCAGACAAGCATCTTCGGGCATCCATATCTCACAACATCAGACTTACTATCTTGGCAGATTGGAGAAGGAAGGTTTTGAAGGCAGATAACAAGATTGGGGGATACATGTGGTTTAGAGAGACCTAGGCTCTTAGAGACTCAATGGCTAAAATCACGGAAGATAACAGATTGGTAATTGGAGATTGGTTGTTTGTAGTGTAGGCCCAACCTTAACACTCGGTTGCCTTCAGTCACGGTAGACAGGCAGGGGGAAGCTTGAGGAGGGAGTGTATAGGATCTTCCACTATGTCTTAATCTGAGACACTCTGTCGTATTAGACGGAAATTATAGATAGACGTATAGAATTAATCTTTGCATCTAACATGTAGCTGCATTCAAAACACTACTAATTCGGGGCTCGCATCCTCAGGATTAGCAGATTAGCACAATAATTTCTTTTATTTTATTTTGTGGAACTCCAGGATTTTTGGTTGTTTGGCTTTGTTGGCCGTGAAGACAATTTTATTTGTGAGGAAAATTGAGAGAACAGTATAGTTAAAAAAAAAAAAAAAAAAAAAAAAAGGCATACTTAGGGGTCAGATATATCCAGTTCTTGCAGTAAATGCAGTCAAACGTATTAGATAGAGCACCCGGTATGCGCAGCCTGTGAGGGTCGTCTTACATTTTTTTTTTTGTTTTTTGTTTTTTCCTTTCTATATTTTTCTCTCAACTTCTGTTTTTACTGCCTTTCACTATCTACTCCTAAGACTATCTAGAGGGGACCCCTGCAAGCATAGTTTCGTCTTACTGTGAAGGGGAGATTTCATGTTGCCCCTTGCCCCTAATGGTTAGGGTATATCCCTGAGACAAATTTTCGTGGTTTGGTTTACCGGTCGTTCCAGTCCAAATGGTAGTTGGAAGGTTGGTGAATTTGTTGGGGGGCAATTCATGGGAAACGAATTGACTTACCGTGAGGGCACGGGTGCGCAGCCCGTAGTTTGTTTGTTGATGTGCCTCGGGAAGGGTAAGGTAGTGATTATGTTGTATGTATCTTTTGTCATATTCGCTATACATAACTCAAAGAGAGTGTGTGTGTGTGGTCCCGGTTGGTGCTTTATTCACGATGTTCATGGGACTTTGGACCCATTTTCCAGCAGGTGGCGCTCTCCATCAATAGACAAGAGAATGTGTGTGTGTGTATGTGTGTGTGTGTGTGTGTGTGTGTGTGTGTGTGTGAGAGAGAGAGAGAGAGAGAG